AAAAAAAAAAAAAGTCTGAATTTTTGTCATACATTTGTATCTTGCAATAACGGTTCTTTAGCCTCACCAGGAGCTTGGGGACTGTGGGGATGGCCATGGCTGCCACAGTGTTTCTTCCAGTTGCTGGATCGTACGTTCAGGTTTGTGTGTTCAGGAATGAACAAGGCAACAAGTAGTGCCAACAGCACAGAGCATGCTCCAAATAAGAAGGGGGGTCCAGGAATTATAGAATTCTGAAAACAACAGTAACAGTATTAATGAATTGTTAGACACGTGCTAACAGCCTACACTTGCTAATTACACAAATTTCAAGAGTGGGAAGAACTTCTTACTACACCAGCCAATATAGCATTTGTTTCCACATGGAGTCTTGTAGAAGAAATGTGGAAAGAATGTTATAACCTAAGATTCAGGAGAGGATGCATATGGTTCTTACTAATACTTGCCAACTTCCTTCTCTAGTGCAAGTTCTTGCTGCTGAGTTTTCCTCAACAGATTATATTTTTAAAAATACAGAGAGCTTGGTTAAAAGACTAGAGGACAACAAAAGCATACAACGTGAACAGTCAGGGAGCCAAGAGAAGAGTGGGATGCTCTTGTTATTAGTCCGTCCTTCCTTCAACCTGTTCTCTTTTGTCATCAATTGTCTAATGACTATCAGCTGTATCTATTTGAAAGCTAAACTAAACCAGACCCTCTAGTTAAAAGCAACCCTCCCCAAGAGTGATTTAAGAACCTCTTTTTACATGCTTTTAGCGTAACAAAATGGAATATAGCATCATACCCAAGAAGGGGCGAGCACATGATCCCTTCCTAATTTCTTTTTTGCAATTAATAAGTAAAAGAAGAATACCTGTTGTAAATGGTACTGTGTGACCACACCACCTCCTGATGGTGATTCAGGCATGGGGAGTTCATTCAGTTCAACATGAAATATATAGAATATAAAACCATAAAGTGCTGGTCCCAAACCATTACACAGTCCTCGAATTCCTGTTATCATCCCTTGAACAACACCTGGGAAAAGTAAAATATACTGCTGTCTATTTATACATACATAATTACTATTATACATACATAATTAACTATTTTTGAAGAATTGTGAACGTATCACTAAGACTCTATTCACTTCACCTCCAAACTGATGCAAGCAGGGAACCTCCTCTAAAGGGTTTAGGCCTATGGGTAGCAGTAAACAAGGGCTGCACAAAAATTGCCATTACTGTGTTTTCAAGGTTTTTTTTTTCCATCTGCCCCTAGGCACAGAGTAATGCTTCCCAGGCTAAGCTCGCTCACTGACCAGTATCAATACAATGTCCTTGCTGTCGCAGGAGGCAAAGCACCACATGCAACCTGGACAGTGAAGCAAAATTTTGTCAAAAGTGAGGAAAATAAACAGCATGTTAAGTTTGCTAAATATTTTGCTGCTGTTGGGACCTGTTTGAATGTTTTCCCTCTGTGCCAGAAGGACTTGATTCACATGTATTACAACTTAGACGTAACTTGGATTTCGACGTTTTGTGACCTACGCTCAGGTGTAGGGGCTGCTCTGTGCCGAGATCCTGGCTGGCTGACTAGCACTGTTATGGCACCCTGCCACGTCTGTCTTCACAGGACTCTCTGACTAGAATTCAAAGTGTTAGGACAAAACCTACCCTGCTGGTCAGCATCAGCAGTTCGTGAAACCAGTGCGCTTACAGCTGGGAAAGTAATACTGGACATGGCTGCAACAGCTCCAGCTGCCCACATCATCCTGCAAAAAATAAAAATACAGACTTAAAGGAACTGCTCTGCATGTTCTGCACAATGCGTTCTGTGTTTGGAGTGTATGTATATATATACGTGTGTATATACACATGCACTCACACACACTTAAGGGTCTCCCTTGGATAAAGGATGAAATGCGGAAAAATACTGTATCATTCAGATATTAAAATGAAATTTACATACCATGGTTCTGATCCAAAGCCATACCAGGCAAGTTGTAGTATCTGAAATCCTAGACCCAGGAAGATGGTATTTTTGTTTCCAATGGACCGCATAAGTAAACTCAAAACTATTGTCTG